CAGGAAGAGAAGGATTGCCAGGCATCCTTCGGCCGCATATGTTCCTGGCAGGCTCGTAGTCCAGCCCAGGAAGTGGAAGGATGCCTCAAGCGCCTCTCTCTGGCAGGCACCGGCCGAGGTGAGGACGGGTAGCCAAGACATGCAAAGTTGCCCCTCAGCCACGCAGCTACGGATGGAAGCAGGAGGTCGCATGATTCGATTCAAACTCCAGAAGAATAACGTGCTGGCACTGGCTATGTGTCTTACATGGTCCAGCTGCATGACATTCAAGCTCGGTGCTGGCATAGCTGGACAGGGCGCGGTGCAGCTTTGAAGGTGGTGAATGCGACGTTGAAGACGGCTTGGAAGCAAGACGTCAGGGATGGATCCTCCCTCGAGTGCAGGCAGTGGTCCTCCTACCTCTCGGCCCTTATGTGCCCGCGCGTGATCGGCTACGCCGCGAAGGAGAAGGGCCTCGATAGTTCGGCAGCTTGTAGGAGGCAGGCGCTCGCCTGCCAGCGCATTTCAATCACTTGGCCTTGATGGCCCGCTGTCAGCATGGGCTGGCACATCCCCTGCCTCGCTTGTCTCCTCTGTGCAGGGGGTGGGCGGGGGACTTTTGGGCTCTTGGACGGGGGCGGGAGATCGCGTCAATTCTGTGCCAGCTCGGAATCGCGAAGCGAGATATACTACGTGGAAAGTATGGGCCAAAGCAACGGCATTCGAACAGCGCGGTCGCGCGGCGCATCAATGCGTCCGCGAGTCCACTCCCTCCGCCCAGGTTCTCGCCCCCAGGGGGCGATGATAAGACGCCGATGCCAGCGATGGGCCAGCAATCGGTCGATCTTGTCTTATAGCATAGGGAGCCACCGTGAAACTATCCGCGGCGCGATGGGGAAACGCATCCAAGCAGCTGAGGCCCAAATGCGGCCCGCGAGGTTTTGTTTGGCATGGATTGCGCCGTTGGCCTTCAGGGGCCGGGTGTTTCGGGCCCCCTGGCCCCCTGGGGCGCGCCCCCTGGAATCGCCATCGAATCCCTTGACAGAGTCTTGCGATCTTATCCTGCTGCAGCAATGCCCTGCCGGGGCCGCCTTCGCCCGCGCCTGCTGCTCTGCTGCCAGTCTCTGATATGCAAAAGCTCATCGACACTCTTCTGATGTGGAGGGCCGGCCCAGAAGCTTCGGACCCTCGCGCTCATGTTTTCCCCTTGCAAGCCTGCGCCAGCGGGCGGGGTCGGGCCCAGCGCGTCGGCCCCGACCCCAGGCAGGGTTTGGCCGCGGTTTGAGCAGCTTCTGGCAACGAAAACTGGGCGCTTTCTTTGGGCCACTCGGCATTCTGGGGATCCTCGGGCCTCGCCTGCGATCGCGCGGGCCACGTTCGCATCGCTCTGCAGAAATATGCGCGCATCAGTGGCTGCTTTGCAATATCCTGAACGCATCTCACGCGATGAGTAAGTGCAGATCGCAAATTTCCCGATCGCGTTCATCAAGCGTTTGTGCTCCAACTACCGCCCGCCTCGCAAGGCTGTCTGGGAGTCGACCATCTCGGAACCCAGGATAGCTGTTGGCGTCGCCGCCGCAGGGTGGAGCAACGCCCTGGCTCTCGCCAAATTGCTCGTGCACGCGTTGGTAAATAAGTTGCAGCTGAAGCATCCGCAGGCCAGGTTTCTGAATCGAGTGCATGTTTCCCTATTGCAGATGGTCGGAGGTAGGATCCACTTGAGCAGTTCCCACCAGCCATGATGGGCCTTGTTTCAAAGCTTGAATGCGCGCTTCTCAAAGTCAACTGGGATAAGAAAGGGCATGTGACCAGCGCGCCCGGCCTCGACCAGGACTTCGGTAGTAACTGGGATATTTGTTCCAGACAGCGCATGTTGGCAGGCAGGTGTCTAGAAGCTGACGCGCACAGTGGAGACTCTAGGTCTGTGCTAGAACAGGGCAAGCGACTAGCCGAGGCCGAGAAAGCCTCGCAGCGCGTCACACAATCGAGAGGAGCTGGAGCCAGTGTCAGCACGGCACTGAACGGGTCTCCTAGGGCGACGGCGGTCTGGGTTTCGGCTGCCACTGGCATCTCAGAGCAGAATCTTCGCTCGCTCCGCCTCGCCACCCTCCGCGCGGAGGGTAGAGTGCCCCTGGGGACCCCGGTGGCTCTTAGGCTTAGGGCCACGCTTGGGGGTGCTCCTAGGGATCCGCTTGTGGCTCGCACGGCAGAAGTGGCAACGTACTGGGCTCTTCGTGTTGTCTCTCAATGGCCCGGGCTTGGGCCTCCCGCTGTGCCCGCCCCCCCCCCCCCCGGGCACGGCACGCGGCGGTCGCCCGCGGCTCGGCGGCGGGCGAGGGGGGGAAATTAGGAGGAGGAGGAATTGAGGAGGAGGAGGATGAGGATGAGGATGAGGATGAGGATGAGGAGGAGGAGGAGGAGGAGGAGGAGGAGGAGGAGGAGGAGGAGGAGGAGGAGGAGGATTAGGAGGAGGAGGAGCGAGAGGAGGAGGAGGAGCGAGGCTGTCTTGGCGGCCGCCCGCGGCGTCTTCTCCGGGCCTCGGCCCCGGTTCCAAGCTGCGGGCCCTGCTCGGGCAGCGCTGGTTTCCCTGGCCCGCGCTGGGGCCACCACGTCCAGTGCCGCTGCCTACAGGTCGGGGGCTGCTAGAGGTGCCCCTGGCTCAGGGTGCCCCCAGCTTCTCGCTCAATTTTGGAGCTCCTGGGGCCCTCTGGACCTCGTGAGGGGTGCTCTGGAGGCCGTAGTGGCCTCCTTGAAAATCCTGGGGGCACCTTGGGCCAGGGGCACCTCTAGCAACACCCGATACAGGGGCCCGTTCCATGGGGAATTTCACCAGGCTCGGTTTTCTCATGGGTTTGTCACGGACCCAGCCTGGCATTTAGCGTTTGCAACCTTCGAGTTTGTGGCCCTTCGTAGGATGGAGGGCGCTTGGATCCCGCCTCTTAATTGGGTTCCTGTTGCTGCTGTGTTTACCGGGGAGCGCAGAGGGTTGGACGGCGCGCATGGCAGCAGCCATTCGCTCGCTTGTGGGAGGCAGTCACTGGCCTCCGGTCCGCCTTCGCTATCGCGGTGAAGCATTGCGAGATTGCTGTGCTCACTGCGGAGACCGCGGGACGCTACTCCATCGCCTCTATCTGCACCCCAGACTGTTTGGAGTCTCGTAGAGAGTGTTGTCTGCCCCATGCTGCGCCAGCAGCTAGTTTCATCAGATGGTTGAGTGGGTATTTCGGTGAGCTGATTTCGCGTTGTCCCTGGTCCAATCCAGAGTTTGCAGTTCTCCGTCTCGAGGCACCCGAGGACAACTGGCTGAGGTTTGTTAGCCTCTTTCCTTGTTGGAGATTTGCGGGCAATGTCTTCGTTGGCGGGAGCGCTTTCAACACGGCCCATGCTCAGCTAAGGGGATCTGGATGTGCTGACTGCGCGGGCCAGCTTAAGGCGGCCATGTACGGTGTTGTGCTACTTTGGTCTGCTCCTTCCCAAGTCGCCAGAGGCGGGGAGAACCATGCTTCCCACGTTCTGAGTTACCACTCGTAATGGAGCGGGGAAGACGCGCTCGAAGTGTTCTGCGATCGCGCTGGTACATTGACTGCGCGCAGGACTCAGGAACCGCTCTGACTTTCTCTAGCCCCAGGCGTGACGTCTGGACCAACTGGTGGGAAGGCATCGGGCCCGAAGGCCCGAGTCTGCGAGGCCAAGGCGCAGCAGGCAGAGAGAGGTGATCGGTCGGATCAGGAGCTCTGGCGAATTACGGCAAATAAAATAGCCGACAAGTTGGAGCAAAGCTTTGGAGCTAAGCTTTGCTTCATAATGCCAGCAAACTGCTCGAGACTGTGACCTGTGGCGCGGCCGTGCCCGAGCAGCCGTCGGGGCGCTCGAGCAGCCAAACTCGCACGGGATAGCAGGCACAACAGACATCGAACTCGAGGATGAGATTCCGCTTGCGCTGCATGATTTGTGCCAGGAGGAGGGGGCGCGTCCTTTTGATGGGAGCTCCAAGGCTGTGGGGGCTGTGGTGCCTCCGCGTTTCCGCTCCGTCCTCATCCTCCTCCTCCTCCTGCTCCTCCTCCTCCTCCTTCTCCTCCCCCAAAACCACAACCATGTCTCAAAGCCTAGGCCTATGAGGCCCATTGGGGGTTCAGAAGGCATTCTGCTGTTCAGGCCGAAGTCCCCGCTGAGTGTGAAGATAGGTTTCAGGATCTGCTTTTCTGCAAGTGTTGCGAGGCCTCGGCGCAACAGCATGCGCGAGGGGGCCTCTTGGGCACCTGCAAGGGATCCCCTAACGCTTGATTTAAGACCCAGAGATCTAGGCTCAGGTGTAGTCTGTTCCCAGGACACAACCTGGGCAATGCCATCGTGGGGCCACCGCTGGGCCAACGCAGGAGATCAAAGCTGTTTGGGGTCTCTTGCGGCTTCTTGCTGGGCTGCGTGCCCTCGGGGGGGGGACCTGGTGGGGCGTCGGGCCCTAACGCTGGTGCTGTGGAGGTTCCCCCTGCGATGGCAGCTGCCCAGCCGTCTAAATCCGACAGCGAAATTCGATCGCTCACTGTCCTACTAATTGCCAGGTTGCACGATTTTGAACTCCCTGAGGCGCTTGTTGCTTGGGAGTGTTGAGTGGGACGAGGAGGTAGAGTGGTCTGCCGTTTCCTGCTAGGTGCAAAAAGGTGTAGAACCAACCCGTATCAGCGGTACCCCGTCTTCCGTGCTCTCTCCTCCCCTCCTTCGACGTACCCTTCCCCGTCCTCCTCCCCCTCTTCCTCCTCCTCCCCCTCCCCCTTGTCCTCCTCCTCCTCCTCTTCCTCCTCCTCCTCCTCCTCCTCCTCCTCCTTTTCCTCCCCCTCCTCCCTCCTCCTCCCTCCTCCTCCTCCTCCTCCTCCTCCTCCTCCTCCTCCTCTCCTCTTCCGCCTCCTCCTCCTCTCCTCCTTCCTCCTCCTCCTCCTCCTCCTCCACTCCTCCTCCTCCTCCTCCTCCTCCTCCTCCTCCTCCTCCTCCTCCTCCTCCTCCGTCAGGGGCGCGTAGGGCTGGACCTGTGGTCCGCCTGCCGCCAGCCGCCCGCGCACGGGCGCGCGGGCCCCCCCAAGGCGCGCTTCGAGCCACAACGGTGGCGCCGGGGCGCGGACGCCGCCGGCCGCGTGCCGCCTTCGCCGCTGCCGCCGCGTGCGCTTCCCCCGATGGTGAGGCTTCAGGCTGCGGGAAGGCAGCCCCCCCGAGGCAGTCCCAGCTCGCCTCCGACGTTGCGAACAAAATGCAACATCGCGAACAATCGCGACCAGAGCCCCAGACCCCATCTTGCTTCCTCATTTTCCCACCAGATCGACCTGTGAGGGTCCACGGGTGCGAGACGGGGCGAAAACGCCCGTTGCGGAAGAAGTTGCAACGCCAGGATCTCAGGGACAGTCGCCCCGACTAGTCCAGGGCGGTCTCGACACCCTCGCGCCGCCTCCTTCGTGGCCCCTGGGGCGCCTGATGCCGCCCCAGCTGGGTATTCTATCCCAAAGACGGGCTTTTCGCCCCGAGTCATCTTTTTTGTGAGCCGCAAGCTGCCAACACAACTACACAGTCGTTCGGAAACCTCCTAATTACTCCCCCTCCCCCTCTCCTCCTTCTCCGTCGTCGTCGCCGTCGCAGCCGTCGTCGTCGTTGTCGCCGCCGACGTCCTCGTCCTCGCCGTCCTCGTCGTCGGCGCTGTCGTCGTCGTCCTCCTCCTCCTCGTCGCCGTCCTCGTCGTCGCTCCCCCTCCTCCTCCTCCTCCTCCTCCTCGTCGTCGTCCTCGTCCTCGTCGCCGTCGTTGCACATGCGCCGCGCGCGCGCGCCGGAGAGCAAGCGCGCACCCCGCCGGCGGCGCTCGGGGAGGCGGCGACGACGAGGACGACGGCGACGGCGGCGACGACGACGACGGCGGAGGAGGAGGATGACGAGGATGACGAGGATGACGAGGAGGAGGAGGAGGAGGAGGAGGAGGAGGAGGAGGAGGAGGAGGAGGAGGAGGAGGAGGATGACGAGGAGGAGGAGGAGGAGGAGGAGGAGGAGGGGGAGGAGGAGGAGGAGGAGGAGGAGGAGGGGGGGGAGGAGGTTCTCGAACAAATCACCGCATACGGCTTTTTGACGGCTTTCGGCTGCCGAGGACGCTCACCCGGCCTCTCCGGGCGCCCCGCCCCTGGCCGGGACCCGCGCGCCCCCCCCGAACGCCAAGCACGCAGCAGGCGCTCTCCAGTGCTGTTCAATTTTTTGCCTGCGCAATCGACTGCTGTAGGTGCCAAAGTCGAAGCAGATATTCTCATCACTCAAAGCCTGGCCACTCACAGACCTCGGAGTCCCGGGCGAGTAGCTTCTCCAATTCGTTCGAAAAATGCTCAAAGTAGTCGGGGAAGATCCGGGTCGACATGTCGAAACCGTTCATCTCGCGACGTGGTAGGACGAAGCCAGGACATTCACAGTGTCGGCCAGGGAGAAGTCGGGGATCTCTGAGATCTGGCGGTTCTGGAGGATGTATACTGGGCGCCGCGGCCATTCCAGAGCGCTCCAGAAGGCTACGATAGCGTTGTGTAGCGCTCTGGGACGATTGATTCTTGTCCCAGCCCCGCCCGACGTGGGCACCCCTGTGCCTCGAGCCCTCCCTTTGGGCCCGTCCTTCCACCTCGAGTCGTGCCCGGAAGCGGTCTCCGGATGCCCAGAGACAAGCGACAGAGCGGCCGCCACCAGTTTTGCGCAACGCCTGGATCTGAGGGGTGTGCCTGACTCTGCGCAGGCCTCGCGACCTCTGCCTCTTCTTGGGGTTCCCCAGGCAGTGCGGTGACAGTTCGCGCGGCGACCCCGAACGCCGCAAAGACCTCACCGCACTGTCCGCCGCCGCGCCGTTCTGTGATCTTGGAGGCTCCAATTGCCCGAGACATCCTCGGAGGACGACCCGAATCCCCAAACCGTGCGGTGGAACTCAGTTCTCCATGGACTCACCACACGGCCTGGTCACCGCACCGTCTGGAGATCCCCGAGACGCTCTGTCCAGCGCCCACGAACACCGGCACCGATCGGGGAGAGGACGGAAGGGACGGCGGCTCGACCCGTGCTGGGACCCCGATCGTGAACTTCACCATGGAACTTTCATCGGAAGGGGAGGATGGGGAAGACTGAGACTCGATGATCGACGCCTCTTTTTTATATTATTATTATTATTATTATTATTATCATTATTATTATTATTGTTATTATTATTAATATTATTATTATTAGTATTATTATTATTATTCTGATTCTTATTAGTATTATTCTTATTATTATTATTATTTTCACTCCCCACGCGGGGATTCCCATGTGCATCATCTCATTTCGTGGCAGGTCCCGCTGCGAATGTCTGAGCGAGGGAGAGCCTGTGGCAACTGAACGCCCCCCCGCGGTGCCCCCTTTGGGTGGCCGAGCATGCTTGCTACATCGCGATGATCAAGGGCCTTTCAAAGAAAAAGAGTCGGGGGTGTGCCAGAACCAACGTTTCGCTTGAGGCTTTCCCAACAGCTGCCCGCGAACGGGCAACTGTAACCCCGCAGGCGGTTCTCCCCAGGGGTGCCCAAGTGCTATGCGTCGAGTGTATATAGACGTGAATGGTCTGAGTGTGGTGAGTCCAAATATGAATGAATATGAGTGTGAGTGGGTCTGACTGTAAGTCCGAGCGCGGTCGAGTCTGAATATGATGGGGTCTGGGTGTCAGAGGATCTGAGTGCGTGTGGCCTGAGTACGAGTACGATGAGTATGAATGGGTCTGAGTGTGCATGTATCAGACCGTAAGTGGGCAGTGGGTGAGTGGGCTATACGCGCGATTCTGAATATGACTAAGCTGAGTCTGCGTGGATCTGAATGTGAGCAGGGAGCAGCAGGCGGGAAGGAAGGAGGAAGGAGGTGTAAGGCTGCCAACCGAGTGAACCGCTCGAGATATCCTTATAATCTGGCCGCGAACGGGCAGGTGTCCGCCTTTCTAGCAGCTCCTCCTCGGGGAGCTTACATGTCACGCCTTCTATATCATGGTGGTCTTGCCGCTCTCAACAAAAACGATATTTTTTTTGGGGGGGGGGCAGCAGTCGCAACGTGCCGGATACATCCCCACAATCTGCACGCGACCATGTAAAGCTCATACCCCTGGCGGCTCGTTCTTGGGGCGTCCACCCGAACGGGCACGCATCATTCCCCTCGCGGCTCCTCCCTGGGGTGTTCAGGTGCTACGCCTACTATACCGAAGTGACCATGCGGCACTCAAGCAGAAAGGTCTGGCCCACCCGACAGTCCCACTGTTTGGGCGCGACCGGGCAAATGTCACATCCCTTGCGGCTCCTCCTTGAGGTACCCAAGTGCCACGCCGGCTACATCTCGGTGGTGATGGGGCGTTCGAATACGACGGGTCTGGTCCGCCAAACGGGCGAACCGCCTGAACCATCCATGCAATCTGGGCGTGATGCGGCAAGTGTCGTACACCCTGACGGCTCTTCCTTAGGGTGTCCAACTGCCACGCCTGCTTTTTCGCAATGACCATGGGGCCCGCGCAAAAAAACATCGGATCCGCAAAAAGAGGAAACCGCCTGATGCATCTCCACAGTCTGGGCCCGAACGGGCACGTATCATTCCCCCTCGCGGCTCCTCCCTGGTGTGTTCAAGTGCTACGCCTGCAATACCGAGGTGACCATGCGGCGTTCAAAAGGAAACCGCCTGAGACAACCCCACAAGCTGGGCGCGAACCGGCGAGTGTCATATCCCCTGGTGGCCACGCCTTGGGGTGCCCAAGTGCCACGCGTGCCATCTCGGTGGTTATGGAGCTTTCAAAGGAAACGGGTCTGGCCCGCCAGACCAGCAACCCGCCTGAAGCACCCCTGCGGTCTGGGCGCGAAAAGCCCAGTGTCATACCGCCTGACGGCTCCTCCTCAGCGTGCCCAAATGCCACGCGTGTCGCGACCATTCAACAGAAGGGAGCTGATGCCTGGGGGAAGCAACAACAGGAAACCGCTGGAGACACCAGCACAATCTGCACGCGATAATGCAGGTGTCATACCCCCTGACGGCTCCTCCTTGGAGTGCCCAAGTGCCACGCCTGCTGCACCGCGGCGATCATGAGGCTCGCAACAGAAAGGAATCATTCCCACAATCTGCGCGCGAACGGGCCAATGTCATACGTCCTGGCGGCTCCTCCTCGGAGCTCCTAAGTTCCACGCCTGCTATACCGCGGTAATCATGACGCTCTCAAAACAAAGGGTTTGGGGGGCAGAAGCAGCAAATCGCTGGAGACATCACCACGATCTGCGCGCGGCCGGGCAGGGGTCGTGCCCCCTGGCGGCTACTCCTTGGGGTCCCCAGTGCCACGCCTGGTATATCGCGCTGGTAATGAGGGGGCGAATGAATTCGAGTATGAGCGGGCTTAAATATGAATGATATTAGTATGGGTGCCTATGAATGTGTGTAAGTGACTATGTTGGACCGTGTGTCTGCGTATGGGTTAGTATAGCTACGACTAGTATGGATACTGGTGAATATGATTGTGAGCGGGTTAGTGCATGAGTGAGACTGAGTATGAACGGGTTTGGGTATGCGTGAATATGAATCTGAAAGTGATCTTGGGAGAGTCTGAATATGAGTGAGTCTGTGTACGCGCGGGTCTGTATATAAGTGTGAACAAATGTCTGGGTGCGAGGAGGTAGGAGGCGAGACGGAGGAAGGAAGGAGGCGGAGGCATCACACTGATAACAAGAGGCCAATACTTCGGATCTGGGGAAAGCGTGTTGTATGTTGTCTGAACCTCCGAAGCCTATGCGGACCTCAAGAGGCCCCTGGCGGCCGTCAAGAAAATGCGCCTTGCAATTTCTCTACATTTTCTGACTCCTGGACCCCCTCTCGGGCCCAAGGGCCGTAACAAAAACGGCTCGGGATGAAGTGCTCAACCGAGGAAAAACCCTCGGGTCCAGGACCCCTTTCCCTCCAGACTCCTCTCCCTCATGCCAATTGCTCTTCTGGATCGGTGCTGGTGCGGATAGGGCGCAGTCGAAGGGTTCGACTGATCGTCTGGAGCGCTCACAGGGGTAAAGGGCGCTAGGCTCAACGTACATAACCCGATGGGTGCGGT